CTCCCGGGTGCTCTACATCCAGGAACGACCAATTGTGGCACTGTAGAACTGGGAAAATCGATCATAAGTTGTGGTGGTTCTCATAGGAGAATTATTCTCATTCCGGCATTCCGCATAACAGACAAAGTTGAAACCGATGACGACATGTTCACCGTGACCCAACGGGCAAGCTAAATCTGACACATCATTCCTCTGATCCTCGTTATTAAGCGCTAGGTCCTGTTACATTTTCTGAACCGCGAGTGCAAAGCGACGTGATTATAGAGCGAAACACCGGTAACGAGCTCCTGCAGGTCGGCTTTGCATTGTTCTCCTATCGTGGCAAGCTTTTCTTAATAATTTACGTTGAAAACACCCGTGCCAAATATGTGATTATATCGATCCTTTTGGGTGAGTATGTATTTGCAAGATGGCAGTCCGTTTCGGTTGTATGGTTAATGCGCAGTAGACCGAGGCTATAAGGCATGTCTCTACCTTTTAACTGCAGACAAAACCAAAGAGAATCGGGGAACTGCGTATCAAAATCCTCCATGGTATCGCAATGTGAGCCGTTTCGTTAATACAAAATTACCCCTTCTCTTGTTGTGTGTCTATCGTTCCGGATGCGTAACATAGTCTGAGTTGCAAAAGGCAGTGAAATACCTGACTGGGATTGTTCACTAGTTGATTTGTCGTTATGGTGTCTACAGAGCGCTCGCTGTTTCTCAAGCCTCTCTGGATTTGGAAATTGGCACAAATCATCGCAGCGCGATGCTGGGAGACCTCGAGCTCTGCGTAGTCAATTCGTATCCATGTTTAGGAAATCTGATAAGTGGATTGTAAAGCACTGCGTCTTGGTGAAAAGATGGTGGAATCCATTCGTTGAACTGCTTTCTGCAAGCGAGCAACGCACTAGTTAACGTTTGTGAAGCAGACTAAACTGCTTGAAATAATTGTAGTGTTTCTGTACACCGAGGTCACACTCCGAAGTGGTAGTATGCCGGCCGTGCCCACTAAGCCTGCCGATGTGTGAGTGTTGGTGGCGGATGTGAACAACCGTTCACTTGTCCACATTGAATGCTAGCGCGTCCCTCACGGTGCAAACCCAGACCTCATCCGCAACTCGTCAGAGGATCCCGTGGTAGTCCAAACACTTAATCATCTGCGACGAGGAAACAATCGCGGCTGTAAATATAGATCTATTGTTAATGAAGCTTAAAACTCTGGAAGCTCATCTACCGAACCCTCAGATGCGCCGCACTCCATTCTAATTGGGATTGATTATGAGGTTCGGACAGCACCCTGCAGTTGCCTTTGCAGAGAGTGTGACCATTACATCCTAGTACTACACTTCTAATGTGATATTACAGTGTTTAAAAAGCAAGGCACGAGGATAAACGCAATCAATCGCTTTTGTGAAGTCCAGGTAGATAACATTCTTTCCTTTCCTTTCGTCAGCTCCTTTCGTTGCGTTCAGTCAGTAAGTTCCTGATATATCATCGATGCAGACGAACATTATGCTGCACGATGGTAGCGTAGTTATTCAGGTAGCTGACCAATGTGTCCCCGATGGTCATTTTCATGCTCTTAGCAAACAACTGGAGAAGCATTATTGGGCGGTAGTTAGGAGATTCAGATCCATTGACTCCCTTGTGAACAGGAATAATGACAAACCGATTCCACTTTTACCGAACTATGGAACAATGGTATAATTCGAGTAACTAAACTAAAGCTTGATAGGTACCGTGGGATAGTTTATATAAATTACAAAGTCCAAAAAATGTGACCTTCAAGTGAAACGCGTATTTGTGGACTTAATGTGATATCCACTTAAGCACACAAGTATATCCGTTCACCCGACATTGTGGAGGCCAGTGAGCACAATGCTTTTCAGCGACTTGTGTCACTTGACAAGTGGAAATCATATCACTTGGTGAAGGCAATTTCCTGCATTGTCACGTCGTTCTTACTAGGTGGCTTGGTTGCAGAAATGACAAAAATAGAAAGAGCGTTCCGCAGCCGAATAAATCGAATGGAAAACTATTTTCGTCGGAATTTTAGCTGAGAGTGTTTGGTCTCCAGTTTCAAATGGTGACCCCTAACCTTCGTGTCGCAACTATGTTGCGGGAGATGGCAGCAGGCGTGAGCGCGTTTTACAGGTCCGGAAAGACAGAATCAGGTCGCCACGTGGACAGCGATAACTTACGCTGCATTCTCTTAGGGCGTTCAGTCGTATTTGATATTGCATGTGGGAAAAGCTATACACGTTTTTCTCTGCCTTCCGCTGTGGGGTCTCTAACACAGCCAACTCGCTTTTTAGCCACGTTTACCACGCCAGAATCCCGTATTCGACATAAGGCCTCACATATGTGTTGAGCATTGGAGGAAAGATTGAGGGACCGAAACGCCCGAAAGCGCTCAGCAAAAATCCAAAGTCTTGGTTTGCGATTTCGTACGCCTTCAAGTGTTGCTGTTAACAGTCGAGGTTACTTTGCACCACCAATCCAACGTCCGTGAAGCGGTCTTCAAAATGTGGGCTCCATGCTCAGATTGGTCATTTGGCTTGTGGAGTACATGTATAATTTTTCACACGTCTGTGTTGAGCGGGAGTAGATTCGTGTGTGACTAATGTAAAGCACAATCAAAGTCCCGTTGTGGCAATCGTAATCCTTCTTATAACTCGTCACCTGCCATGTTTTGATGTCTGAGGCAATAGTAGGGAATTCGACCCAATAATGCATTCATGGTCGTTTATGAAGACTAAAAATGAACGTGGCTGTAACACAGATCCCTGTATAACACCGCAATCCACAGCAGTAGGATCAGTAAATGAGTCCTGGACCTGTACTTGAAACGACCACTGAAGAGGGAAATTTCAGATTTATTCAAGGACCGATTTTCCAACTCCGCATGTTTGCGGCTTTTGGTAAAGTATCCGATGATCAAATTGTTAAAAGGCTATTGAAAATTTCAGATAAATGACAACAGTACCAACCGCGTTGTCCGCTGTTTCCGTCTAACTGCCGCGCAATCAGCAAGTAGATTGTTTAAGCGTTAAAAGAGCTTAGGATTATTGGATGAGGCATTGGAAACTGAGTTACGCATCCGAGAAGGATTCAACGACCGACAAGTAACCAGAACCGTTACATGACAACCGGATACTCGAGAAGTCCCAGTCAGTGTTGAACTATGATGCTATTTTTTAAACAATAGCATACTATAAGTACTAAATACTTAGCAATCTCCTCAACAAAATAGATGCATACAGGTACTAGTTTAAACAATACACTTTAGCAGCATTAGTTTTTGGAAATCTATCATTCTAGCTCTAAACCAACCGCTTGCATCCTCACTGGTCTGTGTTAAACTGGACGATTGGTCGTACAAATGTTCCAACTGTGCTTCGACCCCTATTTTTTCACTTTTATTCTGTGGAATCGAAAAATTTGTATCCATGCTGGGTGTGATTTAATAAGAGACAGATTTAACCCTAACTCATAGGTTCTATCGGCATTTGATCGTTGTAAACTTCTGGTGGGATGGATCTCGGAAGTTGCGTTGTCGCTGTGGATCATGTTTTCAGTAACAAAGCACGAAGGAAGTTGAAGAAGTTGGCACGACAAACAAGATTTAAAGAGTCCAGCACATGATCAATACATCCTGTTTTTATGTCCAAATCGGCACTGCGCTGAATGCAGGCTTCAGTGTGGGATCTAGTTAGTCGTCGTAAGTTGCGATGGTTAACTGGCAAGTTGTCATTACGTAGTGGCTTCACAAATGGAAGCGGGTAGGTGGCTGTCCGTAAGCATTTAACCACAAATATTCACACGCACAGTCTCACGAGCAGTGCAGCAAATTAATGCCACTAACTTGTCCAGTCTGCGAAAGATATCCGGAGTTAGACGTTTTGATACGGTTCGCCTACCATTGGAACAATTTTTATGCAACTCAAACATACCATCTGAAAATGTAGAATATGGGAGGGGTATAGATAAGTGTAGAAATAGCATGAAAGACTGATTAGAAGAAACGCCCTAGAGTAGGAAATGTTGGTAGCTTCTAGTATATTTATCCATAAAAGGAGGAACAGGTCGACCCAAGACAGGAAAGCAGTGTGAAGTAAAAGATATATCGATATAGAATCCCTTGAGCATATGTTACTCTAGTGGCCTGAATGCGCTGGCGGTTAACAGTACAGAAAAATAGGGCCAAAAATAAGGACCGAAACACGCCTGCGAATAGCGTCGTCCTTTCCAAATTCTCGGAGTTTGTGCGGTGTTTACCTCTGATTTATCTACTGGGAATAGCTAGCCGGATGCTAGCTATGATAGTGCCTTATCAGTAACCATAACTGCGGATTCATAATCAGCTTCAATATCAGTACCCATTTTGGAGCTGTACGAAGGTGGCTGTACAAAGGTGTTACTGAAGCTTCGGATTTCGTCATGCCCAACTCACTCTGTTTACACTGCTCAAAACTGGTTACTCAGGGCATTCAGCGTATCGCTTGTAAATCCTGGGCCTGTGGTCACAAGCGTTGTTCGCAACTTACCGATTAGCTTTTTAAGATCTACGCTGAACACAAAGGCCTGTTATGGGTCTGTCGGTATTGCATTTATGCAGCTGCACTGGCAAGACGACCGCCGTTTCAAAATATTGAGAGATGCTCATCCGTTCCTACTGCTAGAAGAGCCAGGAATTGCAGAACGGTATCCCCCGTCGACCACCCAAAGAATACGACCAACCAAGTAGAAGACGTGTGTCGCATCTGTCCCCCCGACAACCTGAATACGTTGCCCACAGTTCCTCCATGTAGCGGGATTTTATAAACCGGTAAACCGGAGCAAACACAACGGATCTCTGATGAGCCACTTCCTGCTGCAGTCGCCGATCATGGAACCAGAAACTAGTCACCGTGGATTGTTGCGGGAAAGAGACCTCCAGTTTTGACTCCGAGCACCGTTACGCGGCCGTACGTGTTGTCCGAAACTGGTCTGATCCATCCTCGTAACCATTGTCTGATGATCTTTCATGCCCCGGAGTCAGAGAGTTCCGACCCGCGAGTTTGTTATGAGCATGATGGCACGTTCTTACAAAATTTGGTTGATAAACTCCTGGACCCCGATGAGCTAGGTATTCATATAAAACGAGTATTACGCGTGGGAAAACGAACGGCAAACCCGCTTCGTCCGTTGCGAATTGTTTTTGAAAATGTCTTCACCCCAGCGCGTCTTTGGCGTCTAAACGGCCTGAACATCCACGTGCGTGCCGACCTCACTATGGAAGAACGTAATTGCCTTCAAACTGCTACCACTGAACTTAAACGCGAACTCAACAAGGCGAGAGCAACATACATATCGTAAGTTTTCGAGTAGTGCCGAAGCGCCGGCTGATAAACAAGCCGGTGTTGCTGATGGCGAGCGCCCCAATCTAGTTGCCGGTCTCACTGTGGCGCTTACGAACGTCCGCAGCCTCACCAATAAATTTGATGAGGTACATCTCTGGGTAGAGCAACATTGCCCAGATTTATTTTGCCTGACTGAAACATGGCTCCACGGTGATATTACTGATCCTGAAATTCACATCGATGAATACACGACATTTCGGTGCAAACGACCCAAGGGCGCTCATGGCGGTGTATTGTTATATATAAAGTCCAGCATGAGAGGGGGACTCATATCTACACATTATAGTGCCGACGGCTTATGCGAACAACTTTGGTGCAGAGTTACTGCTGGGCCGAATGAACTGAGAGTGGGAGCCATTTATCGGAGTCCTTCAAACACTTCCCGTGATTGGATCGACGTATTGCAGCAGCCCTTAAACTGCCGAAATTTTCTGTTGCTTGGTGAATTTAACTTTCCACACGTTGATTGGCCGCATTATAAACCTCTACCTGGCAGTAGCAATCTCGAATGAGCTTTTTTCGATACAATGGCGGAGATGCACGCTCCGCAACCTATCATGCAACCAACAAGGCAGCTTCCGGGTCAACCTGAAAGCTGTCTTGATCTCCTTTTCACGAACGATGAGCAACATGTCGAATCCGCTAAAGTATTTGAACCCATTGGGTCCAGCGATAACTCCACGATTTCAGCCGTCCTACGTTTGCCATCTGTTGTATCATTACGAATACCCCGTCGTAACATTTGGAAAGCAAACTAGGATCGGTTGATGAGTACTGCGGAACACATGGACTGCTCATTACCTTTGAATGATGGTGTTGAAGTGTGTTGGGAGGTGCTGAAGCAACACCTTGTTCAGTTACTAGACCAATTTGCTCTTTTAACACCAATAAAATGTTGGAAGAGGCCGCCATGGATGGATAGCGAATATGTTGTCATGTCGAGGCGACATGCAAATTGTGGAAGAGGTTCAAACAAACACATAGCGCCGAAGATTACGCAGCTTACAAAACACAAATAAACTGTTGCAATTCACTGAAACTACAGAAGCGTGCGGCTTATGAAACACGCTTATCAGCAAATGCGAAGGAGGCACCCAAAAAGGTTTTCGCATACATCAAGCGCAACCTTAAGCCAACTGACGAGTTACCTGCTTTGGAAAATTCGCTTGGTGTACTGTTGACCGCCGACAAGGATCGACCTATCGCACTCGCTTTACATTTCGAGTCAGTGTTCGACTCAGCTTCTCCAGCATTTCAGTGTACCCAAGTCGACGCCAAACTGGATACAGTGTCCTGTTCAGAGGACCAAGTAAGGGGATTGCTTGCTAATCTAGACTGCTCCAAACCGCCAGGACCTGACGGCTTGCATCCACTACTACTCAAAAGGCTGGCACCTGTTATCGCACCTGCAGTGACGGAATTGTTCGAGGCCTCTTTGCCACAAGGGAACGTCTCACGTGAATGGAAGCAAGCCATGGTACGGCCCTTCCCGAAAGGAGGAAACAGAAGCAGAGTGGAGAATTATAGACCGATTTGTCTGGCACCAGTGCTGGCCAAATTGCTGGAGAAAGTGGTCAAGAAGGCGCTGCTTGAGTTCACGGAATCACACGGTGTGCTTACATCAATTCAACATGGTTTCCTAAGAGGACGATCTTGTACCACGAATCTTCTGACTTCCCGACACAGTTGAATTGAAGCAGTTAATGGCGGTAGGAGAGTTGATGCCTTGCTGATTGACTTTAGCAAAGCATTTGATAGATTGAATCACTTTATCTTGCTATCTAAACTCAACAGTTATGGCGTGGGTGGAAAATTGCTGAAATGGATTCAGTCTTTTCTGAACAAGCGGCAGTGGTGCGTCCAGGTCAATGACTACCGAACGAAATGGTGTACTGCCTCTAGTGGTGTGCCACAGAGCACAGTGCTTGGCTCAACGCTTTTTCTGTTTCATATCGAAGACTTACCAGGACGTTTGACATTTACTTGCGCGCTGTTCGCAGATGTTTTGAAAGTTTGGAGGGAAACATCGACCCCCGTCGATGAGGATATACTGCAAAGTGATCTCGATACAATCTCCTCATTGGCATCAACAAACTGCCTTCCACTGAACGCTGAAAAGTCCGAATTGCTCCGCATTGGCAAGTGCTGTCGGGACAGAACTTACAGTGTCGGTGGACGTCTACTGTGCTCGGCTGCGACGGTTAGAGATCTAGGAGTACTATCCCGATGGGACTTAAAATCGTCAGACAATACGCACAAGGTCTACCGTTCCAGCCTTTGCATGTTTTGGTTATTAAAGCGGACCTTCCACGTTTGGTCGGAGGAAATTGCTGTCAGGCTATACGTCTCCATGTTGCGCCCGCTTTTAGAATATGGGGCACCGGCCTATTATCCAAGTACAAAAAGTGAGATGGGAAAACTGGAAAAAGTCCAGCACCTAGTCACCCGCCTGATCCCCACGCTCCGAGGCTTACCACCAGAGGCGCCACAAGTTACGTCTCCATACACTAGTATACAGGAGATTACGAACTGACCTCATTACAAAGTATAGAATCCTTCACCTGAGACATTTTCCTCACCTGAGACATATGTTCTGTATTGTGGATGCACCTATCACCCGAGGGCATTCTTACAAGCCGGAAGTTCCACGTATGGACAGTGTCGCTTATATTCATTGTTTCGCGCGACGTGTGATACATTTCTGGAACTGGTTGCCCAGTTCCGTTGTTCTTTCTGATTCAGTGCAGTGTTTCAAACGAAGCATTGACAAACATTTTTCAGACTTGTGTTTCGATGCAGATGCCATGTTTGATCTCCTTTCGTCGCGCGGTTATGTCACGGCTACACTAGCAACCCTAAAAGACCAAGACACGTAGTGCTTTCTTTGTGCTTATATATCGGTATTTTGTTTGCTTATTACTAAACGACTACTGATGTGCATTCACACAGACCCATATACGGCATGGGTCATTTTTGCTTTACTTATGATGGAGATCACATAGATTGCTATCTTACTCTCTTAATAAATTGATTCTGATTCTGATTAAGGAAACGCTAGTGCTCAAATCTGCGACAGAAACAAACGCGAAACATGATAAGGAGGCCCGTTTTATAGATGAGAAGTGACTTATGTTGCTGACCTGTAATAATAAGAAATCAAAAAATTTAAATTAACTGAAGGAAAATAAATGAAAAGTGCCAGGAAATTTATTCTGAATTAACGTAGGCATTGACTCATTAAAACTAAGGCAGTAAAAATTGCCGGACTAATGCAATAAATAATCTTCTAACGATCAGTGGATTCAAATTTGATTAAACCTAACATGATAAAATACCATAAAACGCCCCATCCATTTTGTTTTAATGCACCATAAGCTTAACCAACAGTGAAAGAGTTCGAACAGCGACTCGACGCTCTTGGCTTTCAGTTCTTAACATTCCCCTTCACTTCCTAGTTTATTCGTTTTATTGAATTATTAAATCTATTTTTTTCTTGACGTTCTTATTACTTTCGTACTTCTCTTTCTTATTTCACGTGACCGGTGCGGCGGGGACTGCCAGTGCAGGTCGCGTGGGTATTAATTGGTTGACCGTGGTGTGATTCGCGCGCGCTGATCTGACTCTTCTGGATTCCAGTTATCGCGGACGAATAATACCCTGGATCGACGACGCGTCACTGAAGGAACATTCACGGGGATTTATCCTATTGTTCCGGTCCCACTTGAACTTGAACTTGAACGAAATCGTCAATAACTTTTGAATTGCCTGCACAATTATAATTCTTCAAAAAGCAATGGATAGCGCTTTCTAATGTCTACAAGGTAAATTTGAAAACAACGTTGCGGTCTGGGTAAAAAGTAGACAAAGGTGCAAAAAACTTATCTTTAGCAATAAAATCCGTTAATAGTGACTCCATAAATTAAGCGCAAACTGCCGGTATTATAAGCTCAATGGTTGCACAATATAATTCTACATATAGGAAAATATCGACGTTAACAGCTCAAGCATATTTACCATGGACCTCTGTGAGAAATGGAAAAATACTTGTACAATGCCTACAAGAGTAAAAATGCACCCAAAGACCACACAGCGCAAGCAACCACCCCATTATATAGAGCTAACAAAACTGCATAAAAGAACGTGATTTAAGTAGGAATATACGCCACGTGCTCTAGGGGATACGCACTCTATTTACACAGCACGTTTAGTTTAACAAAGTTTAGAATTTCACGTCTTCAAACGAATACATGCAACAGTAATTTAGTGCTTTTTAGCACCCGACGAAGCGCTAAAAGACTAGCAACATGGCGTATAGATATCCGCAGACGACCGTGCGTGCACAGAAAAAATTAAACGCGGATATAGCTCTGAAAAATGCTGTCGCTGAGTGGCCAGATGTCAGCCCAGTGTTGACTTAAACCACTGCATCAATTAACAACATGAAGCTGCCTCAGGTCTTTAGTCGTTTTGGTATGCCCGACGCACCTGCTGGCAATGGACCACTGTTCAATTTGGAGGAACCTACGACATTCTGTCCCTCCAATTGTGTGACCCGTATACGAACACCACTCCTCCACCCTCAAGTTAATGGTCAGGTTGAGCCAATTATTGACATGTTCAAGCGGACACTACTTAAATCGCTGAGAGTCGGTCCTACGGACGAGTGTATAAAATCCTTCCTCGTAGTTTTTAGCTACACTTCACATCTTGGGTTAATGGGAGGTCACTTACAAACATGCTGTCAGCCCGACAAATCAAGTCTGTCTCGGCTACAGTTATTCCGAAGCAAAACCATTAGCCGACCTGCTAGGTACAGAA